CCTCTGTGGTAATAGTCATTGTTTAAACTGGTTTTCCCCTGTAAGCACTAACTATGTGTTCTTTTCTTTTCTTTTTTTTCCCCTTGGAGGCCTAGTTTGGAACAGTTGGCTCCGATTTTGCAAAACTTTTGCAGGGTCACAGCTGCTGCTGAAATCAGCAGAAGCTGTGATTTGAATGTATGATTAAAATAAAATAAAAATTGGGCCACAACTATCTCAAAGTTATAGAGGCTGGAAATTTATTGCACCTCGGTTCCCTGTATGTAAAATGGGATGGTAATGTCCTCATCCTTTTATTGTTTGGTGCATGACTCCTTCATCAATCTTGATGACAACCACAAGAGAGAAAAAAAGCATAAGGAAACTCTTTATTAGCACGTGAGTGCCAAATGAATAATACCTGATGCTCATTGAATGATGAAAAGGAGCAGTTTTGAATAATTCCTTGGCTGGAAATCACTGTCCACTTAAAGTACTGAACAAGAAAGTAGTCCTGCTCTTTTTATGTATTGTAATAATCATAGGTGGTTAACACATGTGCTTTCTTAATTAAGAGTTTAAACCTTCTGGGTACCTTATGCCTCAGTTTTAATGTAGGAATATTTTTGTTTAATTTCTTCATATCTAAGAATTATAGAATAATTTGGGTTGGGAGGGACCTCTGGGAAATCTCTAGTCCAGCCTCCTGCTTAAAGCAGGGCCAGCTGCAAAGTTAGAAGAGGTTGTTCAGGGCCACTGGTTGAGTTTTGGGCGTCTCCAAGGATGGAGATACCACAGCCTCTCTGGGCTCCTGGCCCAGGGATTAGCCCCCCTCACTGGGAAGAATTTTTCTTTGTGTCAATCAAGGAATTTTTTTTGCTACAACTTCTGTTGCCATCTTCTTCATATTTTGGGGAGATGGTGGTGAGATCCCTGTGAAGCCTTCCCTGCTTCTAAGGAGGCTGAACAGACCCAGGTCCCTGAGCCTTTTCTTGTCTGGCACGACATTCCCAGCTTGTGCTGATCCATGGGTTAGGGGTCTTGTTCAGCCTGTTCCTCTGGACAGGTGGGTTCTCTGGAAAGGCAGCCCATCCTGCTGCATCCTGACTGCTCTCCTGGCTCTGGTTTCACCCGAGAGGTTGCAGAGAGTACGTGCTAGTCCATCAGCCAGCTCGAAGGCACTTAGTGGCGCTGACCCCTGAACTGTGCCACTTGTAACTGTTTGCTAGGGAGACTTCAAACTATTGGCTGTTGCTTATTGAGTCTGGTGCTCCACCAAGATTTGCCTATGTTGTACTCCAGGCTTATGGTCTTCTTGAATATTTAGATAACATAGTCAATTAGGTGTATTTGTGCTTGCTGGGAAGGTGATAATAATTATTTTCCTCTGTATTTAATCTGAAATGTCTCTAAAAAGGTTTAAAAATGATTAAAAAGGCAAGAGGCTTATCTGGAGTAGCTGATCAGTGTATTTACCTTCCATTTAATAGCCAGGTTTTTATTGCTGCAAAGTTCAGGATGGCAATGTGTAATTGTCAATATAATCTTTTTAAAGTCATAATCACAAATAAATCTTAAAACTGGAAGGTCATATGTTTATATTTCTGCTAGGGTAAGAGATACTGGACTAGAAGCAGACCAGAATGCCTTGGAATGGAACATCTGGTAAGCTAAACCATGTTGGACTGTGCTTAGAGCAACTAAGGGAGGCAAGGGTTTGCTCCAGCAGTTTCTGGGAATACTGCTCACCAGGGCCCACTGCTTTCTGAGGTGCTGGGGGTAGCAGATGGTCCAAAATTGCAAAGATGCTCGTCCATCGGTGTGTTTGCCTTGCTTACGTTATGCCAGAACTGTTTGCTGAGCAGAATAGCTTTAATTTGACTGCTTGAGCTCTCTGAAACTAGACTTCAAGGGAAGGTTTTGTGTTTTCATAACAGTATGTGAAACTGTGCATTATGGTGTGCTGGTGTCAACCAGTAACATAAATGGTAGCAGAGCCACAGGCAACTGTCCTTCTCCAGAGGGATCAGGTGGAGAGTTCAGACCTTTTGAGGTGCCTGGTTTTTGTGTGCTCTAGCTCTAAAATATTGATGGCTAAATCTACAGTTATTTTTCCAGGGATAGCTTGAGAAGTTAGTTATCACCACAGAAGAATCTGCAGGGTTGGCTCCTGACTCTTGGGTCCAACTTCAGTTGTGTTATGCTGACGCAAAGCCACAAAGAAATTGTAGTGAGTGGAGCTCTTGCTGACTCGAGGTGTTAATGTACGTGCAAGAGAAATTGCTCAGCTGAAGCACGCTGCAGTTTTTTGTATTTTGAGAGCTAAAGAGGCATTTAAATGATGAAGTAGTTAAATAATCAGCTTTATGGTAGCCTAGTGAGAGCAGTGTCTTGCTACTTATTAATTAAATATTATCTCTTCCCTTTTTTCTCTTGCTATATTGCAAAAGCATTACAATACAGTTTCATTTGTGTATAATTGACCTGCGGCATTAATGCACAAAAGAGGTGAATCAAATGCAAGTTTAATTAGGATGGTTTTTAAAAAAAAAAAACCCAAAACAGCCCTATAAGCTTGATTTATCGTTCCCCTTGAGATCTAGTATTGATGGAAACTTCAGGTGCAAACACAACTGCCGTGTTGATAGCGAGGGGCTGGAGAGGCTGGGTGGGGGGAGAGCCCCTCCATCCCAGGGTGGAAAGCCTGGGCTGCATCGTGCTGGGCTCGTGGACAGCTGACAGCTCATTTCGGCTCTACCACACTCTTCCTTCGTAGCCAGCCTGCACTTCTCTTCCAAGGCACGTCTGTGCTCTCAAGGGATTGCAGGAGTACCTAGTGAGAGAAGTTTTTACATCTAATGAGGATGTGTGTGTTGTTAGCATGCTTGCGGACAAATGGTGTTCTGAAGCATCCCCAGGGCCCACTGTCAATGTTCTTTTCATATTGTTGGACCTTTTTTCCTTGCACTTGTTGGTTTCTAAACTTAAAATTGAGCAGTCAAACACATGAGCTGAAGAGCGGGAGCTTTGCTGCCACTGGACAGTTAACAGTAGGGCGCTGCTGGTGAGTTACACAGCAAGGTTAAGCTTTTTCTTTCTTCTTGTGGAAAAGCAGAGCTAATTTATTGATGTAGATACTCTGCAAGCAGCATGGAGGCTTCTACCTTACTGGGTGTACCGGGGAACCCACACTTGCACCAGCAAGCTGTGGGACTGGAGCGTGCTTAATGTGGTGGTGGTTTCTTGGGAGCAAGTGTTCTTTGTAGTTGCAGAAAATCTGCCCAAAGTTTCCGTTGCTGACACGGGTTTTTTTCTTTTCCTCCCCCACCCTTCCCCTCCGTGTAACAAAAAGGGGAATCGGTGCTTTGTAGAGAAGCACTTTGCAGCAGTTTGTGAGGAAAAAGCAAGCTGTTGCAGACGGTGAGCCCGTGGGCAGATAGAGATAAGGTTCAGTGGAAATGATCACAGGGATTTTCAAACTACATGGTCAAAACCACTCACTGGTTTGCATTGTAATGATCCTGATTTCTCTCTTTGCTTTTCTTCATGTTTCTCTAGCTTTTAATCTGAAGAAGGTCTCTCTCACCAGGTTTTTGCATCATGCAGTGAGGTCAGTAGAAAGGAGCCTCTTCCCTTGGCCAGGGCCTGAAGGCGCTGTCATAATGGCGGTGGTGGCAGCTATGGAAGCTGGATTCTCCTTCAGGAGCAGTCTCCAACATCTGCATGAGCTTTGGGCTCCTCCCTGTCCTTCCTGCTGGAAGCTTAGCTACCACTTGAAGCCAGGCCTTATGCAGGTCTGTGGGGAAGCCTTTGGCTGCTGTGTTTACTCTTCAAACAGCTGTTGGGTCTTCAGACACCTGGCTGCTCAAAGTATCCCACACTGGGTGGGTGCTGTCTGGGTCCCAGCAAAATTAAATCATCATGGCAGTCTTGGAGGTTTTTGGCAATCGCTTTCCAGATGGATGTAACTTCGTGCCACTGACAGTGGTGATTTGTTTGTGTGGGGCTTTTGGGGAGAGCTGCACCATGAGGGATAGTGGGGAGGCCTTCTGCATCAGTGTTTCTTCTCAGAGAAAATGTTGGCCCCGTGATTGTCAGGTGTGAACCTGGGTGTCTTGGCTGAAGCTCCTGAAGGACGTCATTCTGGGACTGCTGTTCCTCAGCATCTGTGTTCAAGACTCAAGTGCTGCATGTAAACAGGATACGGGGGGAATTTGGCACAACTATCACTATCTTATTCCTCCCCCAGGACAGGAGAGGAGCCTGCAAGGCACTGGCAGCTGCTGCAACTTAAGAAGCATACTAGACAAGGACAAATAAAACTAGAAAAAGATAAATAAACTAACAACAAGCCATTGTGAATGTTTTATTCGTGTTGCATTTTAGTAGCACTCGGGTAGAAATCTGGCTTGTGGTAAACATCTTTCAAGTTGGGGAGGGATAATTTTCTGGAATGAATATGAACTTATTTTTCATAGACTTCAGTCATTTGCTTTCAGGAGCAGTTTCAGTCCATCTCACAGTATTTATAAACTAAAGTGTGGTAAGTGGGCAGCCAAGTTCAGTGGTGTTCAGCCTTTGGAAAAAAAACAAACCAAACCATATTTTAACGGGGGTAGATGTGCTGGACTGGAGTTCTGATGTTGGACCACGAGTTCCTGCATAATTTTTTCCTGGATTGTGATTTGCATGGTATCCTCACTTAAAGTAGTCCAGCAAATGTTAATTTTATTTTACTTTATTTTTTCTTTTTACAACTTTAAGGCTGTGACAGGTCTGTTGCAACACTTAAACACTTTTTTAATCCTTCTTTGACAGAAGGACAAGTGAATTTCTACAGAATTACAGAGTTTAGGGGTTGTTGACTCATCGTTGCTGAGCTGTTGCTGTTCCTTTGATGCCTTGAGCATTTTGAATTGCAACACCAGCAATCCCTGGCTATGAAAAGCTCCAGGTACCCATAGGTACATGTACATGCATGTAGGCAGCAGCGTGAGTGCAAAGGTGTTCTTAAAATTGAGAAGGATCCTGGTGCAGCCAGGCCTCATGGTCAGTGTTGAGATAAGTTGTTCAGTGTTTTGTGTCAAATTAACTTCTGAAGTCTGTTTTCTTGAAGTCAAAAACCTGAATGTGGGGAATTGTGGAGGCTTCTGAAGCGCACAGATGACTTTGGAACAGGTTTTACTCTTGGTTCATACTGTTGTTTCAGTGCTGGTAAGGGCTTTAAGGAAAATCTTCCTTGTGTTTTACAAACTGCTTATCTGTGAGCAGAGCCAGTGCCTGAACCTCAACCTCTTGTTCTCCAAGTCTACCATCATAAAAACTTTCTGTAGCACTCTGAAGAGCTTTACTGTTAATTCCACACTAGTGAAATATTACTGGGGTTTTGTGTGGTTTTTTGTAATGTTTACTGCCTTACAAGGCTGCTTGAGCAACGGTGGATATTTTAGTTTAACTCTTGCTGTGGAGGCACTAACCTTTGAATGATTGAAGAAATGCTCTAGTTAGAATTTCATGGCCTTGTTGTTCATAAAGAATGTTTTTCTATATTCATAGGAAAGTACTAGTGCTTACCCAGAAGAAGATTAGGAAGTTAACTAGTTCTGTATTCTGTAATGAGTTTGTGTGCAGTTCTAGGATCTAACTTTTGTGAATTGCAATTTGCAGACTGGATTTAAATACCTTTTTTTTTTTTTTTCAGTGTATAAAATTGTTACTTATTTAAAAATAAGCCTTAGTCCAAACGTTGAAAATTCCCTGGCCACGTGGTGTGGGAATCTGTGCTGGGAGACTATGATTTAGTGCCTGTAAGGTCTGTGCTTTGACACTTTTATTTGCTTATTTGTTTGCCTCTAGGCCCTTACACTGTCAAGGAAAATGTTTGAAATATCAGCCAAGTTTTTCATACCCTTCAGGCAGGCCAATCCAACACTTGCATGGGTCTCAAAGTTTGCCCAGCCTTTGGCAGGGTAAAAGCTAAATGTAGTCTTTTGGGTTTGTGCAGTTCTATTGCAGATGCATGAACACAGCTAACAAGGAAAATAATTTTCCAAGCAATATTGTCCAAGAGACGGCTCATTTAGCCGGGGCCTCTGTTCATGCTCCATCTCTCTGGACTTTGGCTCTTCTAACGTACTCTGGTCTCCCAAAAAGCAAGGCACAGCTCAGTCTCTCCTCCCTGGCAGTCAGCATGTTCTGTTCCTCCTCAGCTGCAGAGGTTAGTCCGTGAGGAATCTCTCCTGCAGCTGATCGCCATGGACCTCGGGATCCACACCAGCCACCACTGCTGCTTGTTGGGCTCTTCTGTACCGAGATTGGGCCACCAGTGCTTAGCGTGATTCTGTGACCCTGTGCAGGCAGATGAGGTCTTTTTGCTTGTGGATAGGAGCTGCCTGCTAAATGTTCTTCTGAGCTTTACCTTATACACTGAGTTACAGCTCTTTTGTGTGAGATATGGGGGTGTGGGGACTCCCTGCCTGCCATGTTAGGGACTCTGAAACGCAGCTGGTCATTCCATGTAAAACTGCTCCCTGGATGTGGAGATCGATGTGCAAGAAGGATCACAGTGTCACCTAATGCAAGTGGTCAGTGCCAGGAACTGTCATCTCAGCCATGTTCATGGGGCCTTCATTTGTGATCCTAAGTGTGATCTACTGCTGCTGCTCAGGACGTGCTCCAGTTACAGCATTGGCTGGGGCTTCCAGCTTGCTTCTGCTTTCCTACCAAACACTCCTCTTTGAACCCACTGTCAGCCCTCAGATTGGCAGTGTCAGCTCTGCTGGAGGTGATGGGCTTGCTTGTCCGCAGTCACTTTCTCAGACTTCTTTGGGGGGCTGTTTTAAAAGTGTTTCAAACCATCAACTTTTGGGACTACTGAGGATAGAGATAGGAATTATTGAAGAGGAGGCATTTGGAGAAGTTTGGGTCTAGTCAAAGTGAAAATCCAAGTGGAGAGTAACATGTGGGTGAAGGGAAAATGTAGTCAAGTTCTCACTCAGTGTGGAAGTTCATCACTGAAAGGGCTGCATCCCTTGCTGTGGTGACTTTTTCCTTTTTCTAAAGACTGACAAAATCAGTTATCTCATCTGTCACACTAAAAAAAAGTTGTCAAACTATTTTAATCAATAGTTTAATTTACTGTTGCCAGTTAACAAACTGTTTAATTTACCCTTGTCAGATGAATGCACTTCCAAGGCCGTGCATATTGTCCTGCTGTGTTCATTGCCATCTAAAGTCACTTTTCTGATTTTTCTTGGGTGCTGTTAATCATACCTGTGATCTGGGCATGTTAGTTAACAGCTCTAGCCCAAGTGTGCAGGGCTCTGTAGGAAGCCTAACTGAAAAGCAAAGGTGAAGCTTGCATTCACTAAAACTGCAAAACAGTTAGCTGTGAGTAGGAACAATTTTCAGACACTTAAAAACCAAGCTCAAACATTTTTATTACTATGCAATCTCATAATTTTGAGCTAAATTAAGACAGTGAGCAAGTCTAAACTGTACTTCCCTTGTGTGCCAATAATAACAGATGAGAGGCATCTGCAGAGAATGAGTTTGCTTTTGTCTCCTTTAGCATTTTTGTACATTTAAAATATATGGTAGCCTGCATACCCTCTGCTTGCCTTGGTTTTCTTTTTATCTGTAGTACCGCTTAATGAGCTGTTAGAAATTAAATTCCTAGGTAGTCCTGTGGGCTGCAGGATATTGCTGCAATACTGATTGCTGCAGTAATAGCTAGAATGCATATTTTTATTTTTAAATGTAACATTAAAAATCGGCAACATGGTTTTTTTTCTTCAAAAATGTACGTTCTTGCATCTCTTGAATGGCAGTGATATGACATTGATTTACATGGCAGTGATTTATTTTGAGGTTATCTTCATTAGTGGCATCCTAAATAGCTTAATTTAGGATGAAACTTATTTCTGTTATATTCATTGAACTGTCAGGTATCTAATCTGATGATGCTGTCACTGTTTATAAATTAAAACTAGGCAGAAGCTTCAGCTATTATTTGAAATTTACCCCAATACTTTGTCTGAGGATGTTTGCAACCAAAAGCCACTGATGAAGGTGATCCCTTGGCTCTAGTAGTCCTGGTTTTCCTCCCCTTTCCCCTTTTGCTGATACGGCATGCTCTGCCCTCTTCATAGAATCACAGAATGGTCTGGGTTGGAAGGGACCTTAAAGATCATCCAGTTCCAACCCCCCTGCCATCAGCAGGGACACCTTCCACTAGACCAGGTTGCTCAAAGCCTCATCCAGCCTGACCTTAAACACTTCCAGGGAGAAGCATCCACAGCTTCTCTGGGCAACCTGTTCCAGTGTCTGACCACCCTCACAGTGAAGAACTTCTTCCTAATGTCTAATCTAAACCTCCCCTCTTTCAGCTTAAACCCATTTCCCCTTGTTCTGTCACTAACTGCCCTTATGAAAAGTCCCTCCCCAGCTTTCTCGTGGCCCCTTCAGGTACTGGAAGGCCGCTATAAGATCTCCCCAGAGCCTTCTCTTCTCCAGGCTGAACAGCCCCAACTGTCTCAGCCTGTCCTCACAGGAGAGGTGCTCCAGCCCTCGGATGCTGCTCCAATGAACTCTGAATAGTTTTCATTTAATCTCCCAACATACTGCGAGCTACAGAAACTTTAATTTAAAATTTAAATAAGGTGGCTGAAATACAAGTTTATTTTTAAAAAAGCAAATAGTTGGTGTCTTACATTTGGGTCATTGTTCCAATTCTTCATTGGAATAATAGTCACTTGTTTCCTCAGGCTGGACCTGAGTTGCCAATCAAGAGTGTTTTCAACACAGGGTTATCCCTCGCTGTAAGAGGCAGGGACACTGAGGTGGCATTTCTAGAATTATGGGAACGTACTGTATAAAGTAGGTCTCTGAACTGTGGTTTTGAGATGATTAGCTTGTAGCTGTAAGACTTGTAAGCTTTATTTAGGACAATTGATTTTCAGAAGTGGAAATGTATTTTGCCTGTAGTGATATTGAGCCTCTGTGCTGAATGCTCTCAATGGGTTTTCATTTTTGATGGATGTTGCAAGTTGAGGCTTTGAAAGAGAAACTACCTGATTTTCCTGCCAGGTCAGAGGAGGAGGGGATGTTTTGGCTCCTGTTTTACGTGTCAGAATATCCTCATGTGACCTGCACCCACATGTTGTGTTCTGTAGAACATCTGCTCAAGAGCATGATTGTTTGTGTAGTCAGGCAGGGTCCTGGACATTAAAGATAAATAGAACCACGTTGGTGCAGGAGTACCTAGGGACTGTTTTTAGTTAGTCACCATGATCAATCTTTTGTTAATAAGCTAGTGAAAGTCAGTTTTATTCAGGAGTCCAAAAACACAATACTTGCTTAGAAAAAGGAGCAGGACACAGAAGAAGTGTGGCTGCTAAGTCTTTAATTGCCTGAAACTAGTACAAATGTGTCCAGAAATGCTGCTGAATGAAACACATTTGGTGAAACTAATTACGACTTGAAATTGTTGGGAGTTTAGTAAATCTGGTTAAACTGTCCTGTGAAATTATTTTAGAAACAAGACTGGCAAATCTGTTAAGTGTTAATAGTTTTATTAAAATGGTAGTGCCATTCTAAAAATTAAGATGAAAAATAATATTCTGAGAATAGATAATGATGATCAAAAGCTGGGAAGATCTAAAATTTAATTGGTATTATCTGATTGCTTTTCTCTCTCTCTTTTTTTTTTAACAGTGATCACATGGAAAATATTTATGGCTACTTAATGAAATATACCAATCTCGTCACTGGCTGGCAATATCGGTAAGTCTTTTATGGTGCTTCTTAGTGAAGTTGGTCTTGGCAGAATTTAAACGAACATGGTTCAGGTTTTTTTACTACTACTTGGATTTCCCTTTTTCTATTAGGCAAACTTTATGGAAGTCTCATGCTTTTCTCAGTGTAGATTAAGCGAATGTGCAGATGAATAATATTTGTATTAAGGCATGAATAAGAAAAAATGCATTGGAAGTATGAGGACATTAACTTATTTAGTGACTCATAACTATGTTTGTATGTGTAAAAAGCATGTATAGCATTGATTTTTTTTTTTTTTCCTTTTCCATTAAAAATATTGTATTTGTTTTTTTTCTGCGGAGTCTTCAGTTTTATGCCAAATCATGCCACTTAAAAAAAAAAAAGTAATCTTTACTGAAAATTCAAGCTCAATTTTCCCTTTAGTTCTCCAAGATGTCTGTCTCGCCTGGAACAACTTGCTTTTCTTTGCCAGATGAAGCTCTGGTGAGGCTTGATGCTGTTCCTAGAGCAGCACAGTGCAACCAAATTACTATTGGGGGAACAAGTCCTTAGCATACCCCACTGGCCAAATTCCTGTGCTACCTCTGCGTGCAGTGGCTTCTGCCAATAAACTTGTCGTTAAACTCAACTAAGTAGTTGAAGCATAATGTCCACTTCAATTTTTTTTAAGTCTGGAATTGCTTCAGTTTCACAGTTTTATATCTCAACTATTTTGTATCTGGGACTGTTTTACCCTTAATTTGTGTAGTTTAAGGATGTATTAAGCCTTAGAGATTCAGGATTTTCTTTTGATTCACAAAATCTTGCAATAGCTGTCTTCTGTGGGCGTGGCTGTTCTGTTGTGCAGTCTCTGCTCTCTGAAAAAAAAACAGGTAAGAACTTAATTTTTGTATAGTCTTGTTGGGGACATAATTCGTGTGTTTGGGATTGTGCCAACTCGAGTCTTTCAGTCCTAACCCTGTCTGAGCCCACTTGTAATGAAAGTCTTGACTTCTCCCAGTACCACCCCTGCCCAAAAAGAGGAAAAGGATGAGCTGGTTTTATTTAGTGTGTTTGCTTTGTTATCGTTGCAGATTTTTTGTTTTAAACAACGATGCTGGCCTGCTGGAGTACTTTGTGAATGAGCAGTCTAGACACCTGAAGCCCAGGGGTACCCTGCAGCTGGCTGGAGCTGTAATTTCACCCAGCGATGAAGACTCTCACACCTTCACAGTCAATGCTGCCAGCGGGGAGCAGTATAAACTCAGAGGTAGGACCTGGATTCTTGGACAGGGGATTCTTCCACTAGAGGACACTCCCAGCTCTCACCTGAGGCTGCTCTGCTGGCCTTGGCTGCAGGTCCAAAGCGAGAGGACTGGTTTGGTGGACTGCTACAATGGGAGTTATATGTGAGGCTTTCATCCTACTCTTCAGTTAGGAACTGTCCTTTATGGATGGTTCCATGCTCTGAGTTTGATGGCTTTCAGAAGGCCATGAACTTCAGATGCATAGAATGGGGGTTAGTCTTCATATTTAGTGTCCTTAAATTGTACTGATTCAAAGTTTTCTAAATCACTGCAGGTAACAGTGCTGTGGTGATGCTTCCAGGGAACTACATGATTCCTAATGTTCAGTTTGTTAACCTCCTTGTGGTGGTTATAGGAACCTTACTCTCTGACATTCACTGATTTTGTAGGCTATGGAAATCTGGGATAATATCTTTTAGTATTTCTTCCCTTGAAGTCTTGCTGCTGTTTTCTAATTCAAAGTACCTTACTCTTATGCCAGGAAAATATGTCATGTTGTTAGATTAAGATACGTGTGAGGGGAATTATCGTTTGTGAAAGTTATTTCTGTATTCCAAAATTAAAAAAAAAAAAAAAGAAAGCAAAAGTACATGCCATTTATGTTGAACTTGGTTTCTGTATTCCAAAATTAAAAAAAAAAAAAAGAAAAAGTACATGCCATTTATGTTGAACTTGATTTAATGTTATACTTAATTACAGGTCAGCTGAATGAGTTTTAGATTAAAAAAAAAATATACTTAATTACAGGTCAGCTGAATGAGTTTGATTAAAAAAATTTACTTTGCACTGTTAGTCTTATGACTGTTTTAAAGAATTAAACAGTCTTTTTTGCCCATACTTTGAAATGTCTTAATTGACCTAATCCTTCTAATTTGCTTTTATTAGCTACTGATGCTAAAGAACGGCAACACTGGGTTAGCAGGCTACAGATATGCACGCAGCATCACACGGAAGCTATTGGAAAGGTATTGTATGACTGATATTTTCGTGGGCAGAAATAGTTTAGGTTTGTGGTAGAAGCTGCAAATACAACTATCTCGTTATCTAAAACAAATGCTACAAAAGGGTGTGTGGTTATGCTTGTAACTTATGTCAAGAAACATTTTTCTGAGTAATAGCTGACTTACAACAGAAATATGCTCTAGGAATGGAACAAAGAGGTGTCCATTTGCCTCTGAAGAGCTGAATGGTCCTCCATGAGCTGGTGTTTGAACAGGAGGCAGAGCTGAAAGATCAGAGTATTAGCCCAGTATTTTTCAGTGGTTTTGCATTTTTTAATGAATGAGGAAACAGGTCTTCAGTGTTATTGAAGCTCTCCCATTTTGGGAGCTTTATTTTCTTTTTAACCTTTACTTTTTTTTTTTAACCACTCAACAGCCCACAGATACATTTAGGATTAATTCCTATGTTTGAGAAGCAAGTCCTCAACACTGTATCTGGGGGTTGTTGCTTTCATTTGCAAGCAATGCTAGTGATTGCAAGTATAGTGTATTCTATAGAACTTGTATTCCTTGTTGCCATAACACCTATTCTGATGCCTGAATAAAACCTTGCTTTTAAGATAAGATCAATATCTTGTAGCTGGCTTTGTTGTAAGAAATAAATTCAATTAGTAGTTCTAAATGAAATCCCATTCTCTTAAATGTGAGCTCTGTCCTTGCAGGATCTGTTAGGAGTCAGTTTCTAGTACTGTTGCAGATCAGAGACTAATTTTCAAGTCAGAAGTGATAAATTGTGATCAATCTTGTTTCACAGATTGTTCATAATTAGACTATAAAACTGTCAACAGTCAGCAGATAGTGCAACATACCTATTTAGCAGTTGATACCAGTACATTATTAGGGCTTTGTCATCTGTCCTTGCTCTATTAAAAATTAAGAATTAAACTGTTCTGCTGTATCTTTCGAATTAGGATATTTGCTGATTATTAGGAATGAATTGTAAGTGTTTCTCAATATGCTTGTTTATTCACTAGAACAACCCTCCTCTGAAATCTCGCAGCTTCTCTCTTGCATCCCAAGGAAGTGCCAACTCTCCTGGTGTGCAAAGGCGACTCAGTCAAAATGCAGTTTCCTTTTTCAATGTTGGACATCACAGATTGCCAACTGGAAAAAGAGTTCCTATTATGCAGCCAGATCACCTTGTAGACGTTAGAGAGGTTTGTATGCCTTAAATTATCTTACAGTCTTTTGAAAGAGCTGCTCTATTTGTAGGACTGTGGAAAAACTTGCTATTCTTAGTTGGATACAGTCGATATCCAGTCAATAGCATGTCCAAAGCTGTTATTGCCTAGCTGTGTGAGGGTAAGTAACTGGCCTTGGCTAATTGTGGAAGTATTATGTGACTTTTGTACTTCACAGTAATATCGTGATGTAGAATTTTGCATGTTCTCACTCTTGCAAGTTGTAGCACTACAGGTGACAAGGGAATATCCTTAAGGAAATATAACATCCCATGCTATGATGCTGTTATATCGTAGGCTTTTTTCTTCACGTGTCAAGATGTAGAAGAATTAACAAGCTGTACTTGTGTCTCCTATGACTGAGGAGAAATTGGTCATGACTGATGTTTAAGAATGCTCATTCCACTTTCTGGTATGCTAATTCATGTGGATAAATTGTCTAGGGATGGATGTGACTGGAAAGAGAGCAAAATAAAATGAAGAGTTTGGAAGTATGCTTTTTTTAATACACACTCAAATGTAGTGTATTTTGAAAAAAAAAACCAAAAACAAAACAACAACAACAAAACCCCACAAAAAACCCAACCAATAATTACCTTTCTGTCTTGACTTTCTGAATGGACTAGCTACTGGTTGATTTAACTTGTCAATATTTACAGGGTAGATCATGCAAATCTAAAGCTAATACCACAACAAAATTTGTTGCTGAGTTACAAACCTGTGTTACTTAGTAGTAGTATTGATATTAATGAGTGTCTCAGTGTTAGCAGTGTAATTAGTGTAGTGTGATACCTTTCTTGTAAAAAAAAAAAAAAAAAAAAAAGAAAAAGAAAAAAAAAAGTTAGCAAATAAGGATCTAGGAAGCATGAATAGTTAGAAATTGTACATGGAGCACTCTTCTGTCCCAGTTTGTCTGTATTTTGAGCATTGTTAACCTTAAAATATGTGGCTGAGCATTGTGGTAAGTTCATCAGTGCCAAGCTGTAAATGGGCATTGAAAATACTTGCCCTGGTATGGTGTGCTGCCATCGTCATTGTTCCTTGATTTAAATCGAGTGCTGTGGTATAATTACTCAGTAAGCTAGATGAGGCAACTGCCTTTTTAGCCCTTGGAATCTGTGAATCCCTCTGTCCACAGCAGGCTGTTCTTGCAGATGTCTTGCAAAAGGGTAACTGCTGCCATCCTGTTTATATCCTCTAATAACAATGAAGTCTCCTATAGTGCTAATGCAAAGACACGTGAAGTCCTGTCAGATACCCAGGGAAACTTCGGCTGGCATCCTGTGGCTTCTGCTTTTTATGAGCTGCTTCATCTGCTTTATCTCCTGAAAGAGAAGTTTGTCTTCTCAGGTCCAGTGCATCTCCTCACCCCCTGTCTCTGGGGGTCCATCCCCACTCTGTCATTGAGCATCTCTGGGGTCTGAATTCAGTCACACTTGCCCTTGGGCTTGGCTTTTCTGCTCCAGTGTGGAGTCCTCCATGGCTGACACATGGGTATCTGCTCCACTGCTGAACTTAACTTCCATGGGCTGCAGGGACCTCCTTTGCCTTCTCCTGCTTCATGGGGTTGAACTGGGTGTCTGAGATTCTGTCCTCCCCCTCCTGCTCCTTCCTCCTGGCAAAGAAGCTCTGTCTTTGTTTAGGCCCATGGTCTTTTGTTCAGGTCAATGGCCTCTCCTCCAGGTTATCTGCACCTTCTTTTTAGGACAGTCCTTCCCCTCACAAATATGGATTCTCAGAGGCATTTCTCTATTGCTAATTGGCTCAGCCAGGGCTGGGGCTGCACATCGTGGAGCCAGGGGAGCCTTCGCAAAGCTTCCCCTTCCCCACTACCAAAAACTCTTCCCTCCTCCCCTCTCCCCCCCCCCAAACCCAACACCAATGCTTACCTTTCTTTTTATGTAGTTGAAATACTGAAAGGGCAGGTGCATGCCTGTTACACTGGAGCATGATACAGCTTGAATTCTTGTACATTCAGTTTGAGAAGCTGTGGCAAGAACAGTTTCTCTTTCAAAGGATCTGCTGCATGATGTTCTTTATTCATTTTCCTGCAAACTGCGCTGTAGCTGGTTCTTCTGTCAGTCCCTTTCCCTTCTACTTCCCCTTGTTCTTGGCTGGATACCTGTCTCCGTGCTGACTTGGAGACCTTGCTAAAGAGGAGATCTCAGAGGATCTTTGTGCTGACTTGCACTAAACGCAGGTGTGTGTGTTTACAAAGTGGGAACTATAGCCTGTGTACTGCTGACAGATTTTGAGTTTCTAATCACAGTGCTTTTTCCTCCACCGGCACTGTTTTTTGTTTTTCCCTCCTCCACACAAATCTGAGTGTATAAGCAGGAAGAACTTAGGACTGTTAGAAATATGTTATTTGAAAGGGGAGATGTGCCTATTTGAACTTCAATGCTGGTGTAGCATGGCTTGTCCAGTTGTCTGGCCTGGTCCTGGAATGAGGTGCTTGGGTGCTACTGTGTAGTATATTACTAGTTATAGTGATTTGCCAACTAATTATTCATGTCTTTCTCCTTTTTTTTTTTTTTAATCCATCAGTTTTTCAAAGTATTGGAAAAAAACTTACACACAAAGATGTATATCACATTAATGCCTGAAAGAAAATAAGGCACAAGTTCCAGTTAAATGCATGAATGTATCTCGGGTGCTTTTAAAGAAATTCTTCTGCTCTGCTAAATCAATCTGTTCTTACATTTAACTTAACTGTCAGAACACTAATGATCAGAGTAGTGCTATCCTGTTGCATTAATGCCTTTTGTTGTACCTCTCCAGAAGAGGTACTAGCACGTATAGAAGTTTCTGTTCATCCCTGTGACTCAAAATCAGGCAATGTTTTGCTTCTGTGAGTAGAAGGAGGAAAGTATGTGGGTTGTTGGAAGATCACAGTGTGCTCCTCGGTGGTTGGTGTGCTTTGCTGCTGTATCTGATGCAGGCAAATGTACTGTTGCAGGTTCTGTGATGTAGGAGTGTGTAGCTCTGTGTCAGCAGGAAGGAGGAAAGGAGCTTGGGGGAGAAGAAGGGGAACAGTGACGCCAGGAAAGCTGTAGTTTGAACACATGATGAAGGGGAAAATCTTGCTGCTTTTTCTTCCCACCCCCCTGCAAAGTGAATGGTGCGACAGTGATCCTAAGTGTGGTGGCACTGCAGACAAGAAATGAGTCCTGTTTGATTTGAGCCAAATGGGGTGATACAGGTCTTTTCCTTTAAAGTTCTGGACCTCTTCTTGTACAGAGTGAAAAGATTTTGATACCCTTGGATAGTATCTCATAGATGCTCTACTAGGCTGTGCAGAGCACAGAGCTTAATTACTTCTCACATAGGGTGTGTGGGGTGATTTTCCTGCATGTCCCTATCATCCAAGCATGAAAGTGTTTGATATTTACTGCAGCAAGTATCATCTTCAAACTCCTCTCTGCTTTTTTTTTTGAAGTCACTTTGATATTCTTTTGCTTGTTAATAAGGTGCCATGTATTGCCTTGGGAATTTTATCGTGCATTCAATGACTCTTTAGTAGCTGCATCAAGAAAAAAGTACAGTTAACTGTACATAATCTATTACCTTTTAGTTTTATTAGCATCCTAAAATCATTTAGGACCCTCTGTGTGCACAGCCAAACACATACCACACAACGTGCTTCCATTTCCTGATAAATGACTGTTTTGTTTGGCAGATGATGTCTCAGGCTGAGGGCCAGCAGAGAGACTTGATCAGGAGCATAGAATGCCTTCCTGTCTCCGGTCACCTTACATCCTTGGATCAAGACCTATTAATGCTCAAAGCAACTTCCATGGCAACCATGAACTGCTTAAATGACTGTTTCCATATTCTCCAGTTACAACACGCGTCTCAACAAAAGGGATCCTTACCCGCAGGTGGGTATAGATGCTCACAGAGAGCAGAACCCTGTAACAAATCCAAATCCTTTCCTTCTTGCAAAAATACTTGTTGCACTAAATCCAGTTTCAGATGGATATAGAAAACTGCTGGCTGTCTGGTTTATTGTGATTTTTTTTCTAGAGCCTGACTTGCTGGTGTTGGGTAGAACTCCTGTGCATTTATTTTTTTTTTTAAATTGTTTTCCCTATTCTATCAAAAAGTCTCTGACAGCAGCTGAATTGATGTAACATTTAGTTGTTGAGAGCACATCACAACAGAAGGAAGAACATAAGACACCACAACAAGAAGGCTGGCTTTAGGATGTAATTGCCTGCTCAGAAACAGTAATAGTGAAAGGAGACTTTTATGGGATTACAGATTCTAGAATATGTGGTGTCCAGTACAACTCTGTCAAATGTCATGCTTTTCTTTTTTTACTTTTACTTTTTTTTTTACTTTTTACTTTTACTTTTTTTTACTTTTACTTTTTTTTACTTTTTACTTTTACTTTTTTTTTACTTTTTACTTTTACTTTTTTTACTCTTACCATTTGCAGAGGTTATTATTAATACTGTTTATATATCAGTGTTCTTGCTAAATGTGCTAAGATAAGTGTTGCATTCCATTCTGAGACCAGAGCAGACTTGTAAGCAAGTGCAAGCTGGTTAAAGGTAAAAAAGAAATAATAAAAAAATCTCTTTTCATAAACAACCAATCCCTCCAACAAACAAACAAAAAAAACCCCCAAACCATACTGCTGATGGCTGTGGAATAACAGGCATTCACAGAGAGCAGACAAATATCAATTGTGCAGACATAGCAACATCCCTTCCACTCAAGTAGGTGCTTACCAGAATCATTCCACCTAATTTGTGTGCAACATATGGAACTGGACGTGTCCTTTCCTGTTTTTAAATTCTTTTGTGTTTTACTGTGATTTTTTTTTTTTCATGTGTTTACTTTGTGGCTTTTTGTGAGCAAAAAACTTTTGGGGAATGTCAAATGCTTCTCTCACCCAACAGACATGGTAGATATGGTAAGTATGTAAGAAAGTACACTCATAAGTTCTCTCTTATCTTTCCCGTATTCCTCTCATATTTGTGGTACTTGCTTTGCCAGTGCATATCATTTCAGAGCTCTAATTAATTTAGCTTTTAAGATGAAAAAATGTGGTATCAAAAAGTATTAAAACTATATAAAAAGTTTGTGATTCTTAAATCACCACAGGCATTAAAAGAGAATATGTGAATAGGATGAATTAAATTTTTTTACTGCATTTCAGTTCAAAATTTAATTTTAAAAATGAAAAAACTGGCTGGCGCCTCTCCAAATCTTTGTCTGAACTCCAAAGTTACTCATGCTGAAAGAACTCTTCCTGTTCCCTCGGAATTTTTTTTAACCATTGATGCATAACCGTGGGAGGTGTACCAGAAGTCTTTTTGCTTTGGCATTTTCGTGTGTGCACTAGTAAGGTGGGATTTTTTTTTTTTGACCCATGACTGCACCTGGAGAAATATGTGGGGCCCAAAGAGCTCTACTGTAGTAACTTGTGAAGAAGATAGAGGGTTTTTCTTAATTTTGTTGGGGTTTTTTTAATTTTTATTAAATTATGCAAGGAAAAGCTCCATTCATCTGACTGGTATTCAGTCGGTATCTTCCTATTAATCGCCAAATCCAAAAGCACTGCTTGGAAATGTCCATATCTTGAAGATTTCTGGTGATATTGTAGAGAGGTGGATGGGAGGGGAGGAGCAGCAGATTGGATGATACATTACTAGGGCCAGAGTTAAAAACAGACTATTAAAAGAATGTGTGCAACTATCTGCAGCCTTCCATGCTCCCACTGGTGTGGCCTTTCTAGAGACACTGCAATACATCTGTTCCTTTCAAGGACTGCATTTTTTTGTTTTTAAGTCTGTTTAGCTTAGATTCCACCTCCCCTGCCCTGACTCAGAAGGGATACTTATCCTTTTAACTCAGCTGGTGGAGTCTTTTTGGTAAGCTTCAGAAGTTCATCTAGAAAGGAAAAGAGTTGTGGCTTAATTCAAATGCTGCAGGAAGCATTTCTATATTTAAGCATAGGAAAACATAAAATGATGTAGGAAAAAATATTCAGTCAGACTGTTCTATCTAAAAAAATACATGCAAGCACTATTTAATCTTCCCAGGGTCATAAAGGCAGGTCAGCATACTTCAGCTAGATACGAGTGAGATGCAGTAGGAAGTGATGATAAGAGAAGACTTGTCTAACAGAACATAAATTTAAACATGAAGTGGAAGAAAGTATTTTGAGGTCTGTTAAAGTGGTACTTGACTGCTAAGAATGTGTTGGGCTAGTGCTTGTCAGGCTTAAAAAAACTCAAGGATTAGAAATTATGTAAGAGTGCCATTTTGCTATAAATTGCTCAAAGGAAAAAAAAAATAAATAACAGAAGAATGAAAATACTTCCCCAACTGCATCAAGGTGTACCATAAATCGCAGACTTAAAGATGAACAGGAAAGTTGCAGCTATTAACTTTCCCTAAATTCAAGTCAAAAAGTGATGAAATGTACTGGATTAGAAAAAAACCCACAAACCCCACATACTTCGTTATCATAAAGGTGAATTGCAGCAACAATTTGCAAGAAAAACATTGAAAGTGAAGACTATAAACTGCCAGAGATCTGGGTTGTAGCAGAGGGGGAGTGCTGACACCTGTTTAAAAAAAAAATGGGGTGAAGACTTTTAGGGAAGGAGGAGATCAAAAGTAAAGGGAACAGCTTCTGCTGACCCAAAACAGTCGAGAGCAGATTTGAATATGATCCTTCAGTGGAAGAGAAGTATTAGTGTGATATCCTGCCCACACACAATGATTAAAACACAACTGGTAGCTCAAATAACTTAAAAAACCCACCTAGAATTTAATGGTGAAGATTAAACAGAACTTAATAATAATAAAGTTTATTGTAGAAGTAGCTGGTAGGGAGTGGAAAAAAAAAAAGGGAGTCTACTTGTTAAATACAAGCTAATATAGAAGCAGTGAGTGTGGATTAAATGCAACCTAGAACATGCAATTAGAGATTATTGTCTTAGCTCAGAAAAGAGGTATGATGAAGAGGTTTTAAGGATGAGTAACGCCTTTTGAAAAGGTAAGTGTGACAGTGACATTCTGAGCATCTTATTTTTTTAGCTTCTTTGAAACTTCTGTTTAAATAACTTCTGTTTAAATTACCAAGGGATTCTCATTTCTCTACTATGTAATGGACTAATGAGTAACAGACTTGATGAATATAAACTGTCTTGCTGTGGAAAAAGTTGTCTTGTTCCATTAGTAAAGCTGGACTTTTTCCTGCCCCAGTATTTTCCTGATGGAAATGCTGCTGTTTGTCTGAATTAAGCTTACTCTGCCTGTTGTGGTTGAGTATGTGACCTAGTTGCAGGTAACAGAGGTCTGGAAAGAAAAGGTTGTGTATCATAATAGAAAGAGACAGGAGCCACCTTGGTGGAAACTGCTGTGTGGTGGTAGAAATTCAGACTTTCTAATAATTTCTGTGTTTGTAACCCAGACAAAATGGTTTGTTAGTTGGTGTATTCTTCAGCAGAAACTGATTGGAGTCACCTGTACATTTATTAGCCTTTGAAAAAGAATGGAACATTTGTATTATTAATGAGGAACCTGATCTGTTCTGATAAATTAGCTGGGAGTAACTAGAGATGCTGGAATCATTGAGTGGGTAATAGCTTTCCAAGCCCTACAGCTTTTCTTTTTTTTTTTTTTTTTCTTTTTGAGCAACTATTATTTATTTAACAGTGTGTACTTGTCTGCAGCTGAGAAAAGACTAATACAGTCTCCAGAAAAATCTCTGGCAACAAAACTTTTTCTGCTTTTTTTTTTTAGTCTAGAAGCCAGGTTTGAGAACCTGGTAAGTGGTGGGCTTTCTTTTTTTTTAGTACCAGTTAAAGAAAATTTATAACATTCTGTGATACTGGGCTCTTCCTGTAGTGTCTGATTACACCTTTCATGACACCAACTAGTTTCTGCAGTCCAAGTTGCATGTATTACAGCTCGCCAATCGCAGTGTTTGTGCTAATGATCACTGAAGGTGGTGTCTCATTGCACCACCTTTGTTTAGTGGCTGCTGAAGGGATTGGCTGCAGGAGGAATTGGCTGCTTTCAGTTTATTCCTTTCAAAAACAGCTCTTTTGTGAAAACTGCTATTTACTGACCTTCCAGAGGATGAGCAAGTTTCAGCGCAAACTTTCTTTTTCTTCAGGAACAACTATAAGTTGGTTGGAACCGAAGATATCTCTGGCAAACCACTTCAAAAATGGAGCAGCTCAGAATTTCCCAGCAGAGATAAACAAGCCAGCATCTGTCAGAGAGGAGCAGTCCATTGTAGAGCCCTGCCAGCTAACAAGGGTAAGGTAGTGTATGCATCCCAGTTCTGTGGGGAATTATTTTGAGGAATATCTGTAAATGTTTCAGTCATATTATGTGAATATGATTTAATGACAATTCTTCTCACACTTTTTCATTAGATGTGTTGGAGGAAGAGTGAGTACGGTTGCAGTAAATTGAACTTTCTACCTTGCTTTTTCAGTAAATTTTTGCTGCTTTCTGTAGCTAGCTGTCCAGTGGAGGGAACCAACTGGGACAATAATGCAAGGTGCTGTTGCAGTAGTCCCTTGCATTTTGATCTAAACCAACTGGAAATTGAACTGCAAAAAACCTAACTGGAATTTGTGCTGCTCTCAAAATGGGCCTAAGAAATGCTGCCTAAGTAGATAAGACACCAATTTGCTGGTCTCCAGCTATTAAATCTCCCCGTTTTCTTTTCTAGCTCTTGCTGTGTCTATTTTTCTTAATTTGAGCAACTCTCATCACTTGTCTTCAGTGTGGCTTAATGTATTTGAAATACAGCCACAGTCTGTATCATTATAAATGTCAAAATTGATTTGAAGTGCAAAATACTAAAGTAAAAAACCAGCAGGGATTATGATAAAGAACATGTTTTCCTAACTAAGCTAGAAAAATCATAATTACATTCTTTTTATACTAGTTGGTTTCACGCAGTTGTTTGGATGAGACTGTATCATTGTGACAGGATAATGTGCTGTTGTATGTCTCTACAACAGCACTGTGCTATCTTATAGCAAAATTGAAACAGAAAAGATTTGTTTCTGTTTCTGTAGTTTATGGATTTTTTTAATAGATCTGAGTAGTTGCTACTAAGTTTAAAAAAAGAAAAATTGAAACAAACCAGGAGCTTTCAAATAAATCACTAAATTCCTTCTTTCTTCTAATCATTAAGCGAGTTACAGTTCGGGTGCGTAATGAAATATGAGTAGCCTTATCACTCCCTTCAGATGTTGCTCAGCTCCCTTATTTACGATAGCAGGACAGTGTAGCATCCCTGGAAAGGAGTCACCTGTGTGATACTATGGTTTTCTCCAGAGTTTGAGCTTTGTGTGAAGGTTTGGCCCCCTGTTTTTGACTGTTGAGTGCTCATAAATTTGCCATGAGCTGTGACATTTGCTCCAGGAGAAAGGGCTTTGGTTAGGCAGAGACATGTTGCTGCCCTCCTGTGGCATTTGATGCCTCTCCCCTCTGCATCTGGCTCCCTCCAGCTCTTTGCACCAGGAGGATGGGGCTCAGAGTAATGATGGCAACACTGGAAAGCCTGAAGTAGTGTGGAGGTGGAGGGATGTTACTGAGGTGGTTGGAATTTCTGCTAGCATTTGCTTCGCTATTTTTGTGTATGTGTTCGATGCTTACCATTTGTTAGCTCACAAAACTTACAGGAAAACAGGTCACATTTGCTTTTAAGCTTTTTTTTTTCTCTCTGACCTGTGAGAGAGGTGGTGAGAAATCTTAGCCTGAATTCTCTAGATGAAGTCTGCACTGAGTTATCTTAATGTCCCTTTAAATTCTTCAAAAACCATTTATCTTGGGGGGTAGATTCCATTGTGCAAGGCTTTGTTTAGTTTTTTTTCCATACATGGACAGTTAAATACAATATGAAGTCCTTTTGGATATTGTCTGGCCAGCCACATCTTTGAGCTGATGTTTATGGCTCTTATCCCAGGAACCTGAAGAAATAAATTCAGATGAGGAGCTGGAGGATATCTGTGATGATAAAGAAGATGATCTAGGAGCAGTGGAAGAGCAGCGCAGTGTTATCTTGCATCTCTTGTCTCAACTGAAACTTGGCATGGACTTAACAAGAGTAAGTAACTGAAGTGTGAAGCCTGGTTGCAGTAAAAGTGAAGAGCCATTTTAAACTCAGCTCCTGTATTGAACAATATTGAGTGTAGTGTGAAACTGTGGCCTGTAGCAGCCTCAGGTCCCAAGATCCAATGTCCAAGTTTGTTGTGGGTTTTAAGTGAAACGAGCTGAGGGAGTGGATTTTCTTTAATGCAACTGGTCATCTTTTCTGTTACATTCTTTGTTTTCTACTATGTTGGCTTCCCTGTAGTGGCCTGTTTTCTTTCTGATATTTGCACCTTACTCCTTCTGTGCTGTTTTCTGTCGCCTTCTCATATTTTTATGTTTCTGCTTTCCTTCCACGATTGTTTTTCTCACTTGAGAATGCTTTTATGTGCAACTCACATAACCCTACACCTGTATTCAACCTGCTTCGGAAAAGAAGTTTTCTTTTGGTTCCCCATTTTCTATCCTCAGATGTCTGTTTAAGCCTCTGTCCTTTCTCATTTCTGTGTTTGCTCACAGCTATAGCAAGAAGGAGCAAAGTTATATTGGAAAGAAGTGAGTTTGACACTTCAGTGCAGATCTCAAAAGCAAGCAGCTTTGAAAAATTAATGCTCAGTTGCTACTAGACAACTCGGGCAGCAAATTGGGGAAAATTGGGCTGCTCCCAGCTTCTGTTCAATTCACTCCTGTCATGACTTCTTACGATAAGCACTAGATGCTTTTAAAGCAAAAATGGATTTTGCAGTGGCATGGAATGAGAAAAGCACTCTCTTTCTTGGAATTATAGACTATAATAATTTTTTTCAAGCTGTGTTTTTTTTGAGCACAAGCTGTTTGGCCACTAGAAACACTTGTATTGTGGAGCTTACATTTCACAATTTGGGGAAAAAAAAAAGTGGTAAGAATGGGCCGTGCTGCCTGTGGGCCGGACTTAAACCCCTGTTGCTTAATCAGGAATTCATTAAGTCATTGGAACAGGTTGCCCAAGGAAGTTGTGGATGCCCCCTCCCTGGAAGTGTTTAAGGCCAGGCTGGATGAGGCTTTGAGCAACCTGGTCCAGTGGAAGGTGTCCCTGCTGATGGCAGGGGGGTTGGAACTGGGTGATCTTTAAGGTCCCTTCCAACCCAAACCATTCTATGATTAGTTCAGTTATGTTGAAGGTTGGATTTGGTCTAGCTTCTTCTCTTAGTTGGAACACACTGTCAAGTCTCTCCCAGTTGTGACTTTTGGCTGTGTGTAGAATTGTCTTTAGTTTGGTGCAGGCAAAGCATTGAAATGCGACAAGCCTGACTTCAAAACGCGTCATGAAGTCGTTAGAATGGCATTTAACTTAAATATCGGGGTACTCAAATGAAAAGCAATTTTAATATTTCAGGTTGATGTTGCAACAACGTGGCAAGTGTATTTGGCCTAACTTGAGTCTTATGTCTGTGCTCTACTTCTCTGAATGCAGCTGATTTAAATAGATTGTCTTGATTTCATGGTTGAGATAGTCTGTACTGCTCTTTACGACAGTTATGTCTGGTTAGTTGCCACTACAGGGAAGGAAAAGAGGTGTGATGCCCACAGACTCTTACTCTGCAGTATTGCTCTTGGCCCAGCAAAGGACAGGGCTGCTGGTTTTTGTAGTGGTGAATATAACTGGGAAAGTATCAGGCCCTCTGCACAGAGGTTGAGGATCAACCTATGCTATGTTATTTCTCATGGGTGCTTATCCTGTTTGCTGTGGTGATCAACTCTACTTGTTTTTTTCTCTGTTAGACAAAACCTTTCATAATCTCTGCTTCGAACCTTCGTTGCTATAGTTTGAGCTCCTTCCTGCTTGTTTTCTCCTGCACAGACACGTGGAACAGATTCTCTCTTTGCAGCTCTTTTTTTTTTTCTTTTTTTTTGGGGGGGGGGATGCTCTAGCCCTGGCAGTGCTTATTGGTCTTTTTTCTCCTTGTGAATTGCTTTTCTGGGACCCCTGATCACTGTATTTTTCTTGCATCTTAAAAGAGGGACAAGGAAGTTCAGTCTGAAAGTGTGGTGTCCAAAACAGGAGAGGATCCTCCACCTGAGAACTTCCCTTATAAACACGCCTATCTCTCTGTTTTATTTACTGGAGCCTTTTGGGTTTTCTTTTGTTTCAGGTGGTTCTTCCCACTTTTATTTTAGAGAAGCGATCGTTGTTGGAGATGTACGCGGACTTCATGTCTCACCCAAATCTCTTCGTTGCCATCACAAACGGCGCTACCCCCGAGGAGAGGATGATCCGCTTTGTTGAGTATTATCTCACTTCATTTCACGAAGGTCGCAAAGGAGCCATTGCAAAGAAACCATACAACCCAATCATCGGGGAGACCTTCCACTGCTCCTGGAGAATGCCCAAGGGCCAAGTAGCCACTGATGCTGGCAATAACTTCTCTGCTCACTCACCTTCAGAGCAAGTAATTCTGTCTAAAGATGTAGAAGGCCAAACAGAGCTGGACTACTATACGGTGAAATTTGTAGCCGAGCAAGTGTCCCACCATCCTCCTGTCTCAGGGTTTTACGCTGAATGTGTAGAGAGAAAGATGTGTGTCAATGCCCATGTCTGGACAAAAAGTAAATTCTTAGGAATGTCAATAGGAGTGACAATGGTTGGTGAGGGTAAGTGTGACTTCTGTCCTTTATGACTTTTATAAAGCTGTTAAAATATTAGTTTGAGAGGAAATTTGATGTTGTAGGACTCTGGCAGAAATAAAGATGAACGCTCATCTTTATTTTCTTTCAAATACTTTTAAAAAACAAAAATTGCTTGCAGAGATAGCTGCTATTGTGTGTTTTCAGATTTTTTTATGTACTTTTAAATTTTTCCTCTAATCTCTGTGTTCTTAATGTACAGTCATTCAGTGATTTCTTTATTTTTACTGTTTACAAAGTACAGAAGATGCTACAAGTCCTCATTATAAACAGCGAGTTTTCGTACATGACAAAAAACTAGATAGGTTTATACTTTGCCAAAAATCAGGATTATATTTGGAAATAAAATTTACTTTTAAACCAAAGATTTGGAAATAAATTTTACTTTTAAACCAAAGGACAGATACTGTAATGTCATCTGATATTTGTGAATATTTCTAAAGCATCTGCAAATTAATTTGCATCAGACATTTATTAAATAGAAGTGTTGTTGCTTTTGCATATATTGCAATTATGTATCTTACTATGCAAGTTTTAATTTTCTTTAACTAGAGAAATTGGATCCTTTAGGGAAGAGGAGGTTAACTGCCCTTAAACTGCTATTACCCTTTAATATTAGTCCTTACTGCAAGAGATGAGACAGCATCTCCCATCCTGTGTCCCCTGTGTGTATTGCTCAGCATCTGGGACTTCCAGGCACTTGCATCTAAACTGTGTATCTCACAGGGGAATGAGCATGACGGGGATGTGGGAGGCACATCTTGATGCTTTTCCTGTACTGGGTAATTTCTGAAGTTAGTATCTCCCCCAGGGCATTTCTTAAATCATGTCATCAGTATGAAAAACATGAGGATTTCTCAGAAGTAACACGAGGTGCACAGTGATGATATGCCACGGAGGGATGGGTTGATGCGGGCACCAGTCAGTTGTCATGCTATGCTCTTGTAATGGCAAGAGGTAGATCTTGTGTTTGGTTTTCTGCAGGGTTTTTTTTTGTTTTTAATAGGTATCAAACAAGCCCACACATCTTAAAACACAAATTAAATTCTGGTTTTTATGAGATTCTTGACATTCATTGCAAAAGCTGCTGTCAGGAAAGAGTTGGGTTTATCTTGACAGAGAGGTGAGGTAAGGAGGATTGTCTCTGCTACTTGCTTTCAGGTAGGGTAGGATATATTACAGAAAGGGAAAACAGAACAGGAATACGGACCTTCCTCAGGATCTGCAGGTCAGGATATTCATTTGTTATTTGCTTTTGGCAGCGTAAGTCTTGTGTTGCCGTGCTCCAGAACCATCAGTAAGAGTGACCAGCCCTTTTACATACTACTGAAAAGTATGTTGCTCAGCACAATATTGTACTTTATGGAGCAATATTATTAAGATGAATGTCTTTTCCCAAAAGAAACATAAATGCATGTTAACTCAGGTTAGTACTTGCAGGAAAATATTTATATCTAGAAGCTGTAATAAATGTCATTTTTATGGATTGCAGGGGTTTTTTTTTAATTTTCTTTTTGGTGTGAGGGGCTATGAGGAAAAGTAATCAGATGTAGTATTGGATATCTGTTTCAATAACCTGTTTGGTCTTTTCAAAAATGGTGCTGATTCTTGTATTTCTTCACACAGGTCTCTTAAGTCTCTTGGAACATGGGGAAGAATACACGTTCTCTCTGCCCTGTGCTTACGCTCGCTCAATTTTAACTGTTCCCTGGGTAGAACTGGGAGGAAAAGTCAATATTAACTGTGTGAAGACTGGGTATTCTGCAAGTATTAACTTTCACACCAAGCCCTTCTATGGTGGCAAATTGCATCGGTGAGAACACATTTTTTTTTTCTCTTTTTCTGTGTAATCCACACTCTAGAACTGTAGTAGCTGTGTAACTCCCCTGTTCCATGTGCTGAATAATACTTGTTTGATAGTCTGAGAAAGCATAGTTTTTCCTGTTCAGAAGCATTTGATGGTGTCTTACTGTGCTCTTAAACAACAGCATAGCTAATCAACTGCAGCTCACGTGATCCTCGAGGAAAAATCAGGTTCCCTTTAAAGACAGTAAGGAAATTCCATGTTTGTCTGACTCTGTCCAAACCACTGAGAATACAGAGCTCCTGGCTTTTATTCCTGGCTGCCACAGATTCTCTTATTTCTGTTAGAAGTTGGTTAGTGTTTCCTATTTTTTGATTTGTTTTTTGTTTGAAATGAGGTTAATCTTACTGTCTTAAAGGGTTGCATGTTGTTTGCAACATGCACTGGAGTTGCACTACGGGGAACTCTAGTAAATAGTCTTCTGTTACTTATTGGTCTTAGGATTTCTGTATAAGAAACATAAGACTATCAAGGTTAAGCACCTAGAAAATCTCTAGGTAAAAATACTTTTTTTTTAAGACAAAAATGGTAATTGTGGTGGTAATTCTTCATGTGAACTAACAGGTAAAAGAGAAGATGAAGGTAAAGTTTGCTTGGGGTTACTTATAGCAGATTCTAGGAAGCACCTGCACACTCAGTGCAGAGGCTTTCAGAACTCATTAACATTGATGATTTTAGAGACTGTGTAGTAAGACTGCTGCAGATCAGCCTTGTGCTAATATAGAGACAATTAATTAAGGAAGGAGAAAATTAAGTAGTAGCCACACAAAGAATATCTGATTCCAAAGCATTTTGCTCTCAGCCATTTACTGGACTGTACTTATTTAAACCTTTCTTAGGTTAGATGTGTGAGAGATAATAATGAAATATGTAACAGCCCAGAACATCAGAACTTCTTAAACATAGGTTGGTCTCCCAGGTTGAAAAAAGCCAATGGTCTTCTCTAAATCACTTTTTCCCAAAAAGTAGGGTATGGCCATATTTTTTGTTTAAAGGAAAACAAAAATACTCCATCAAAACCTCCACCTTGAAGTGCTTTGCCCCACAACTTCCCATATATGCTTTGAGTTTAACTTGCAAGCGTAGCTCCCCTGTCCCAATGGCATCTGGGGAACTGAAGCTTACACGTCGGTCTGTTTCACTTGAGATGATTTTAATGTGATGCATCATTTGGGATTTTTGTTTCCCTTGCTTACAGTCTATCTTCCACCTTGCAATAGCTCCTGTTGTGCCGTAAAAAATAAGTGGTAGGATACAATCTTACTTCAGTGATTTAATTTTGGAAACTGTATTGTTATTTGTCTCTCTGAAATTACTCACAGATGTAGAGGCTTTTTAAGAGACAGATCTCTTCAAGGTACAGTAACTATTGAAAATTTGACATGGTGATGATTGGACATTGCCAAAAGAATCTCTTGATGGGGAAGCAACAGTGTTGTCATGGTTACACAGAGTGCAAGCGAGTTGCTATGGCAATGTTATAGATTTCTTTTTTGTAGAGTGACCCTTGTTGTTAGACCTCAGCTGGATATTGGCTCCTTGTTCCTGTCCCTCTTTAGCTTGATAAAATAGAGGATGATGATAACGAACAGCTAGGCATATATCAATCATGCCAAGCTTACAAATAAATGCTAGCAGATTTTTATTACTAATATTAGTTCAGGCAGATATTATGATCTGCAGTGCTGAGAATGGTTGTGTGTCTCAGAGCAATGCAACTTGAAGAAATATAGGCTGTAATGAGAATTTAATGTAGCAGCTCGATACTGCACCTTAGTAGTAAGTGATATAACCTTGTTTACTTCAAGCTGAGCAGAGACAGTAATTTTGTGATTGATATTAGAATACTGGATGTCAGTATTGTGTTATAACCACGCAGTGCTTGGAAAAAATTAAGCTTTTAAACTCACGAAGATGTAACTGCAAAGTCCAAATGGACTGGTCTTTGGCATCCTGTGGATTCAGTCTGCTCAGAGATCTCTTGAGAGAAGGACAGGGACTTCACCACGTGTAATAGCTTTGTTGAGGTGGGGAAGTCACAGGATGAAAAAGCAGCACAAAATGAAGGCTGCTGGCTTGTTGCCTGCTCTTTCAGTTGTTTTAAAAAACTGTTGCTGCTCGTTAACTTCCACAAAAAATAGCTTAATAGTTTTATGTAAATGTGCTTTTATTGCTCATATTGCTCCAACTCTGTCCTGTTTTCTTGAATGAATCTTAAATTTTTGTAATAGAAAATTGTGCCTGAGCAGCACATACTTATCCATCTTTTTTCCTTTTCTTTGGGAGACCCTTCTAATAAAGTTAAACTCGGTTTGAGCTGCTGGACCGTGATGTGGCTCCAGCTGCATCCCGCATATGCAAGATGTGGCAGAAGCCCTGGCTGCTGCCTCTTGCTCTGAGGGGGCTGTGAGCTTGCCCTGGGGATTCCCTGCAGGTCTGACTTGACTGGCACTTGGTTTCTCTGTGCTGGAAGGTCTGGCCTGTGATACTCATTTCATTGCCTGAGAAATTAATTTCTCTGTTTTGATGATGCCAGGCTCGGGAAGGACAGGTAGATGCAGACACAGCTGGCAACGACGGGTGCATGTGGAAGAGGGGAAGTGGCATCTACATGTCCTGTGTTCCCTTCTTCCTCTGAGCGTGGGCAAGGGAGAGCTGCTTTCCTCTCTTCTGTATGCAGTTGTTCAAGGAAATGAGAGCAAACCAGTGGTGTGCAAGTTGGCTGTTACCAGCCTGCACATAATGTCAGTGTGAAAGGAGCTGTAACACATACTTTGGGTGAGCGCTGGTGAAAAGTCGGAAGGGAAGCTGGAGAGTGATGTGTTGTAAAGAGCTTGTGTACAGGTAATTGCAGTTTAACTGGAGCTGGAGATAGTATCCTTTGTGAATCCTGAAGCACCTTACAAGTGAGAATGTCTGAAGTCTTGTTTACATAGTGTACAGACCCTTTTTTTTTTTCTTCTTTCTGGGAAAAAAAGTTCTGTTTGAATGTAGTAATTTGTTTGCCTAGCTATGCTGAGTAAGCTTCCAGCTTCCACTCCTTGATTCAGGATCAAGTGAGTGTCGGGAAGTCCTCGGACGGGTCTTGATGTTGTGAAGAAAAATATGCATCAGTGTGTGTAATTATGGTGATACTTGAGCAATCTGTGCAACACTTGAATGAAATATGGCATATTAGAAAGACATTTTTAATGTCTTGTTATTGGCAGAGGTTTCTGTGGAAGAGACAGGAAAGAAAGCAGCTCTCCTGATTCCTAGTTTCCTACCTTGCTTTCTGCTTTTGTGTGTCTGCTGCTTATGTGACCAACATAAAGATGAGACCACCTACATATGGAGAACACTGAGATGTAAAGATGTGAGATAAAGTGCCAGCAGGTAGTGAGATACGTTCTTGCTAGAAAGTTTAATTTTTATTTTTTAAGTCTACATATCTGATGTGATGTTTCAAGTAGAAATGATGAACTGTTTGTGTTACATGTGGACCAGCCTGCGTTAGTTTCTTTTTCATTTTCAGTTCCATTGCAAGGTTTGAAACAAGTTTAAGCTGAAGCCAAAAATTGAATTTCCTGGGTAACATGAAAAGAATTAGAGCAATGGGTGAAAGTCACTTTGCTCTTTGAGCTTCTCCATGCAAATGCAATTCAAGTAGCTAACATTTTTCAAGACAGTGTGGCAAGTTTGCAAACTCATTCAGAATTAAGTTGAGTGATTATGCAAGGAATAATCCTCAGGTGTCTTCAGTCATGGCCTTCTAAAAATGAGTTGCTTTCCTAGAGTTACTGGTGAAGTGAAGCAGAACACGACGAACACAGTGGTGTGCAGAGTGCAAGGGGAGTGGAACAGCGTGCTTGAGTTCACCTACAGCAACGGGGAGACAAAATACGTGGACTTGACAAAGCTGTCTGTGACAAGAAAGCGAGTCCGGCCCCTTGAGAAACAAGGACCGTTTGAATCCAGGTAGAGTCTGTCTTTACTATTGTCTGACCCTTTTTCTCCTAACCAGTCTGGTAAATGTCTTAGGAAAACCTGCAAATGCAGATATTATTTGTGGATAGTGCTTAGCAGCAGTGATTTTAATTTTTTATTTTTTTTAAAAAACAAATACATAATAAAAAGTGCAAAACCAAGTGCAGATGCATGGTTGTCTTTTTTTATTCATTGCCTTATGAGTTTATAAAGTGCCTGCTTAGAACAGAGCCGCCGCATTTGTGTTGTTTTTAACCATCAGCTCCACAGTGGGGCAGCTCCTGACAAAGGAGGTCCTCATGAGAAACTGCTTGTTGAATAACACTTCCATAGCAGCTTTAGAGGGTGGACTCACAGACATTAGACTGGTACAGTCAAAACCCCAGACCCATTGCTATCTGCTCCTAATTGTTAGTGTAGCTACAAGACTTGGCCATGAGCTCTTCCACCTGCACTGCACCATCATGCTCTGACCTGGGTTGGTTTGTCACGTGTAAACTTTTGAAAACTAAAGCCAGTGATTTGTTCTGTAGGAGGCTGTGGCAGCATGTAACAGAGTCTCTGCGGGATGGAGACATTGATAAGGCTACAGAGCACAAGCGGGCCCTTGAAGAACGACAGAGGAATGAAGAGAGGCTTCGTGCTGAAACAGAAACACCTTGGTGTACTAAATACTTCCTTAAAGAAGTAAGTTCCTGAGCAGTTAGCTGTTGATGAAGGCAGAGCTACAATGAAAGCAGGTGCACATATGTGTCCATGTCCTATCAGAATAGAGTATTTGGCCTTAGATCTTATAGCTTAGCTCCATGGGATCCATAGGAGTAAGGTAACGTAAGCACCACCAAGCATGTAAAGGTCTGATGCTCCGATTTTTGCAATTCCCTTGCAGCAAAATGTTTGCCTGTTTTGTGGTTTTATTTATTTTTATTTATTTATTTTACCAAGTTCTTCACCATGGCACATGGAAAACAGTTTTACTTGTGTAAGAAAACTGCAACAGTAAATATCCAAAGAAAATGACCAGCAGGACCAATTTTGCTTATGTTGTTTTGATGTAAAACCAAAATATTACTGTAGCAAGAAGAAATGTGAGTTCATTCTCAACTTGGAACCTTTTGTGTCCTTGTACATTCCATTTTGGATGAAGCTTATTTGTCCAATGACTTAACCTGTATTTCAATAATGGTGGTAATAATAATAATAATATATTAAAGACTTTTAACAAGGTGAACTGCAGACTGCTTGGGGGCTGATGGTATGATAACTTTGAGACAGGCTTTCCTCATGGTCCAGATGATGTGACCCTGCTTGTGTAGAGAGCTTTGCTGAACCCCATGCAAGAGAGGAGGACTCTCTTGCAGTTTAGATTCTCCTTGTAGTGAAAGCTTTATCTGTTAAACTGCTGCAATGCACCTGCCCCTTCTTCTTCCCATGTCTGTGGTCTAGCATGGGTTTAAAACATAGGCTAAAAAGGTTTTTTCCTTGGTGGTTTTTTTTTTCCAGTTTTGTGTTTTAAAGTTCAGGACTATCTGTTAGCTACAATAAAGTTTTTCTGTTCTCTAAAGCCACGTTGGAATGATTAGCTCAGATTTAGATGAAATTCTGTTGCTAATCTGAGATGCAGATCTATTCAGAAAACATTTAAATGTTTTTTAAATGGGGTGTGTTAGAGCTGATAATCCCAGATAGCTGCCTCTCTGCTGGCTTCTTGTTTGGCTTTTTAAAGTAATGTGGATCATGTAGTTGAGAAGAGTAGCTTTTCATCTGGGTTAAATACAAGTGCAGTTGATTCTCGGAGAGTGCTGAGGCTCGGCAAGAGTCTGTACATGTTCTGAACTCATCTCCGAAGCCTGCAGAGTTGATCTGTGTCTCAATCTGTGGAAGTTAAAGGTATAAACTGTGTCCCTCTGGTTTTTGCAGCTATCAGTCTAATAGTTGTGTGAAGGGAATTCTCCTGGGGCAGTGTCTTTATTATAACCATGTTTTCTCTTTAAATTGTAGGGAGATGGCTGGGTTTATCATAAACCCCTCTGGAAAACAGTCTCTACTGCACAAACTCAGCAAACGGATGCTAACTAGAAAAGCTGCTTTAAGATGAGTTTTCTGATTTTCCTCTCCTTTTCCTCTGTCTCTCAAAACACAGTAATTACACTGAGTGTCCCCTTTTTATGTAATTTTGAAAGTTTAAATGAGCATAAAAAAATAAATATACTAGGGCACTTTAAAGCTATTTAAAAAAAAATAAAGTTGTAGAGACAGACTTGCCAGGTACATTCAACCAACTTGTTTTTTGTATGATCCAAGAGATTTTATCTGAATTGTGTAATATTCTTCAAAGTAGATCTGATTGCAAAAGCTGCCTAAGAGAAGAAGGAACTGTTGGGTTTTGGAGTGACATGGGAACTTTCTTCAGAGTCTACGTCAAGCTCTTTGTAACGGAAACCTGCTCGGTACCCACGTAGACAACAGCAACAATAAATTGCTGCTTTTATGCCCTGTGATTAACCTTTCTGGCAAAAACTGGAGGGGTGTTTGGAAGATGTGCCTGAAATCAGTGTTAAGAAACAACGGGATCATGATGACTTTTTTTCTTCAGAGAGAACGTGCATGCATTGGAGGAATATGGGATAAATGTAGAGACTACTTTTCTGTTTTTATGGATTTATAAAAGCAATTAGAATTGTAACCATGGAGAAATTTTTCCTCTGAAACGTTTTAATATACTTGAAATAATTGACTTGAATTGGAAAAGTAATTTGAACACTTTTCAACTCCTAATTTTATTAAATCTCTTTGTGACTGATTTTTCTCATGTTATAATGTAGTGAGGTCTGGCCTTCTTTTTTTTTTCTCCTCCACTTTCCCTTCCCAAGGACTAAGGCTTTCAAAACGAAGAGAAAAAGTACAATTTTGTATTTAAATTTCTCTACCCATCTAATCATCTCAGAGGTGAAGTATCAGTGTTATAAACTGTCCTTTGGATTGTTTTGCTTTTTCTCCTGTGGTGTTACTCAGAACAAAGCAGTGAAACGTGACCTGTCAGCACATGGACTGTAGGTCCTGGTTTTTCATTGTACCATAAAAAAAAAAGGAAAAAGCTGATTTTGTTGAGGACTGGGTATTGATTTGAAACACAATCAGATATCAGGAAACTGTATTCAGGTACAAACATACTTTTTTTTTTTTTAATAACTATTTTATTGAAGTCTAAGAATTGCTGGCAATTAAGAATAGTACTTATTATGGCTTTCGTTATTGTCGTAACTACAAGCTACCTTAATTTTTCCAACAGTGGTGCCTTACTCTGTTTTTTCTTCTGATGTAGTCTTCCAATCAGTGTATATAACATTATCTGCCACTTCCCAGCCATGGCAATGGCTGCACCTGATCCAGCATCATGAGAACTCACAACTGTGTGATCTGGTAAGATGTTTTCCGTGGAGAAGCGTAAGAATGCATCAGAAGGTTTAAATAACCATGTTAACTTTCAACACAAACTGTAAACCATGAAAACAAAAAAAAAAGTTTGGTTTATGCACAACTCTTTTGATTCTCCTGTACTTTTTTTTTTTTTTTTTGCTGTGAAATGCACTGAGATCTCGATGCGAGTCATAGTCCGTTTGTGAGAAGTAGGGGTGGGGATAATAAAACTACAAAATGATTCATTTGTTCTGTCTGCTTTCCTAGGGTGACCAGGAAGAGTAGGTTGTTATCTTTTATGCTGGGGAAGTGTCTGTCTCGGCTTTCCTTGGCCCTTAAAGTGGGATATTTTGGCACAGTGCGCTGGAGCAGTAACTGTTCTCCAGCAGAAGAATGTTTTAGGCCTTGCTGTCTTGTTTATGATATTCTATTCCACCATCCTGTTGTGTTAGTTTTGAATATCCATTGGGCATTTTCATATTTAACCAGGAATAAAAATTAAAATTAAAACAGTGGGATTAGTTTCTCCTTGTTTCTGGGTCTGCAGTACCTTTGGGGTGTGCTCCTTGGCCAATTCCAGGATTTGGGGGAGGAATCGTGGTGGCAACACATGAACTTCCATGGTTCATCAGTACCTGCACCTAACTGGGGATGGTAGAGGAGCAGAAAATAGGCAACACTGTCTATGTTTCATACTGGTTTTATCTGTGTCACATGGCAGATTTGCTTTAAACAAAAAGCAAGGTCTATAGGTCCAGATTTTAATATTGCAGTGATCAGAGCAGCAAATAAACCTTTTTTATCAGCTGAGCATACTCCAGGGATCAAACTTGTGCTTATTACAATATAGATCTATGACTCAGTCACTGAGCTCAGCTTAAAATTTTGATTTGGGAATTTTTCAAGGTGATAGCTGTAAAACAGACTTTAAAGCTCCCATATTGACCATAAACTCATTTGTGTTCCTTATATAATATTATTAGTCAACTTATTTCTCTTCCACCCTCATCTGGTGTGCTTGTGGTTTCACACTGAGAAAGCTGTTACTAATTTTGTTGTGTAAAAATAGACCCAACACTGAAGAACTGGTCTTTTAAAGCACATGAAACAATTTCTTTTAACGGGGAGGTGGTGCTAGAATAAAAGAAGGTACAGCCTTCCTTTGCTCAGATGATCACAAGAACTGGAATGGCTTTGTGATGTGGATTTAGTTACAGTGCAAATTTCTAGTTACTTCTAGGAAAAAAGGACAGTTGAAAACCATTGGGGGAAAAAAAATTCCATCCGCTGAATATCCAGCTTAAAATATAAGAAATTTATGTGATTCTTCTGAGAGTTTCAAGCACCCTATGGACTAATGTATGTATTTTTAACTCTGAGCAGATTTGATTCTCTTGCATAACTGCTGTTGTTTCCATCTTGTACCTTCTGGAGCGCAGGGAAGGGCTCACTGCTGCTTCCTGTGTAGGTATTTGCTAGAACCACAGCGTGTTCAATGGGGAGCGTGGCAAGATGTAGGATTTTGCCTTATGTTCCCTCTGTCTTTTTGGCTTGATTGGGCTCCACTGAAGTTAAGAGCAAAATTCTTACTGATCTCAGTGGTTTTAGGCTCCTGGAGTTATAAGCAGATCTTGGAGCTTAAATAAGCAGCTCTCTTCAGAGGTGCTGTGTACCCTGCTGCTTGTGAAAAACCGAGAGCCTGACAAGTCACTCCTGGCTAATGCAAGTGTTCAAATGCATAATCCTGAAAGCTTGATTCTGGATTTGAGTTTCATGGGGGAAAAAAACATGCAATATGTAAATTGGAGTGTTCAAGTTTTTAGGCATGGGGAGGGGAATAGGTTGAGAAGTTTTTCAGCATATTTACAATCTAAACTGTCAAGCTCAGGATTAAGTCTCTGTCTCCCCAGGAGAATTTGGATTTCAGCCATCAGAATCTGAGATGCAGCCTTCAATGCCTAGTTTGCATGTGTCCTGTTTAGCTGGGGAAGAACAGGTCAGAGTGTCTTCTAAAGCCTCTTGAACTGAACTTGGAAGAACAAGTAAACATATGCATCAGTGTTATATCCAGACAACTGGTGCAAAACTTGGTAGAGGAAGTTCTGCACTGAGTATTATGGGAAGGAAAGATTGGACAGCCTGGAGGGAGTTCGGTGTGTTCCTGTAGTTTCTTATTTCCATGTCAAAAAGCTGCCTTATGCTCTGTTTCTTTTGAGTGTACATGCAGTAGAGCAGTAGTTAATATATTAAAGAAATGCAAATTAAGTCAGGTGGGTGGAAGGGGTGTGTTTCTGGTGAATTGGGGAGGATATGGGATTAATTTGGAAAAATCATAAGGTGACAGGAGATAGCAGCCAGGCGGGGAATTGGTGAGAATCATAGAATCATTTAGGTTGGAAAAGACCTTTAAGATAGAGTCCAACTGTAAACCTGACACTGCCAAGTCCACTACTAACCCATGTCCCTAAAAGGAAAGGTATTGTCATAGTTGTAGGTGGAGACTTATGGTAGCTGAAGTTACGTTTTTATTATTCAGATTTGATGCAACCTAATTCATTCCCTTTCTATCCTTCTTCAAAGAGATTAGAGACAATGTTGTTCTAGACTTTTAATTTAGGAGCTGTGGAAATGGTCCAAAGAGGTGGAAACAATAGTAAGAAGAAAATCTTTTTGTATGGGCTGGTGCTGTCGTAGCCCTGCAGTTTAGAAAACTGAAGCAGCCCTGCAGATCTGCTTCCCTGCTCCACGTTTGGAGAGCCTCAGCTGTAGAAAGCTCGTGACTGTTGTACAATTTTCTCCTTTCCCTTCCCCTCTCTTGTAGGGGTTGATCGATGCAGCTGGGTGCTGGTAAGCAAAGTATTCCTCTCAGATGCTATCCTGAAAGAAACACCTCTGTGTAGGTGAGTGTCATGTGTGGGCTTGCAAGGCTTCTCAGTAGCAGCTGAGGTTTTTATTACGTTTTGCTCCCAGAGGTGGGGGGATTAAGATTTGCACGGCAGCAGGGTTCAGAGTGAGGTGTGACTTACCTTCCCTTAATTGCCTTTCCACTACAGAGGCAGCCTGGCTTGGTCTGGTGGTTGTGGGAGTGAAGGTCCTGGTTCTGTCTGATCACGTTTCTTCAGGTTGAGTAGCACAGCAGAGGGGTGCAAAGGAGTTGCAATAATTAACCAACACATTTGTGTTGATGATATTACTGTGGCACAAACCTGTTGGTTAGAGATGGCTGGAAACTGGACTAAGACGGGGAAGGAGTTGTCTAGATGCCATGTAGGGAGACTTCTTAGAGTGAAGCAGCAGTGTCTGGACTGGTGACTTTTTTTTTTTTTTTAGTGAAGAAGCTTCACTAGATTATTTGGTATCTTTACACTGTATTTAGGACTGTCTGATCAATTCATAATTTTCTTGGGTGCCAGCATTTCTTCCACTGAGGATGTGTTACATCTCAATATTTTTTTTTCTGCTGCTACAAGAGGTTTTGGAGTGGGTTTTTTGTGTGGAGGCCATTAAAAAAAGAAAACTTAAAAATTGTCTTGATCTCTGCAGTTAGAAGAGAAACTCATGGTGGCAATATGGAAGGACTTCAAAAGATAGACATGGAAGTCAGATGCTTATTAATAAAAGATTAAACATTATTATTATTTTAAAAAATAATAAAAGGAATGCTTTGCATCATTATACATTTAAAGTAAGTACAAAATCAGTTCATATATAGGGTTGCACTTTAACCAAAGTATTGATTCCACAGTTCACTGTATCTGTGGGAGGAAACAGATCTTATAAATAAGTTATGTACTAGATCTTAGTTCCATTTTGAAAAATGGAGCGAGATTTTTTTTTTTCCCATGAGCTAAATGCTTCTCTCTTATCTTCTCATTTCTCACGCTGAGGCTTTTTGCCTGCTGTGTCACTGCGTATTTCTGCTCCCGCCACTGTTCTGGTGCTCCCCGCCTGGAGAAGCTGTTTTGCTGGCCTCGTTGTCTGTGTTGTTGTTGAGGATGTCATCGCAATCCATCTGGGCCATCAGGTTGAAGCGCTCAGCCACGCAGTGGGCGGTGAGGCGAGCCTCGGGGTCGTGGTCCCAGCACTCCGTGATGGTGTCGCACAGAAAACGCATTCCCTGCAGGCAGAAGGGCTGAAATTAAGATCTGAAGGCAGGAGGGAGAGGGGCTAGGAGCTGATCTAAAGCAGTCACGGTGTTTTACCACACTTCTGGCGGCTTCCTGCAGAAATCATTTTTTTTGGCCGAGCTTGAGCACAGGAGGAGACAGCCTTGGTACGTTGTGGCAAGTGCCAACGCTCGCCTTGTTACTGGCACTGCTTGTGCTAGAGCAGCAGCCTTGGCTCATCTGGGATCTGGTGCCAAGCATTTTCCATGCTCTCTGGAAATCCTCCCTGGAAATTGGTTTGTGTTGACTGTTAGACTTAAATAGGGGCTGGAAGGAAACAGGCCCTCCATCTCCTGTCCCAGCCTTGCTCGTTCTGATCTGAGCACCTGAAAATCGGGCGGGACAGGAGAGGTGCAGATGGTGACCTGCAGGCTGGCAGCTGAGCCCAGGTCTCAGGGTTTCAAGGTGGTGCCCTGACTGTTACACCTGGATGGAGAGGAGGGGCAGGGGGGTTTCAAAGGCAAATTTGGAATTAAACTTCTTAAATCTGACTTCTTGGTCTAGCAGCTTTGTGAAAGGGTGCAGCGTGCCAAATAGTCATTGCAGTGTGCAGCTGAGCTTTGTTTTCTCACCACAAAATAGCGTCTTGGTGTAGGTGGGACTGGGTACTTCTCAGTGTGCTCAAGAACACACTTGGTTCCTCCCAGTTACAATGGTTTTGTCTCCCAGTAATATTTTTTTTTTTTTTTTTCTGAAAAGAATCCCAATATTTTGGGCTTAGAAACAAAATGTCACTATTCAGGGGGGTATTTTTCCCCCTCTGAAGCTAGTAACACAGCACCAGAAACTGTGTTGAACCTTCCTTTGCCTATACAATTCCTATCATGTGCTATTGCTTTTTGCATCACTGTCAACCAAGGTTGCAGCACAGTGGAAAAATCATTATTCTAAATAAAGCTTCACAGTTTTCAGTTGTTTTTGTGTATTTCTTAATTTGCAGTTAAGAGAACCCAAAAGTCTCATATGGACCAGCACAAGAGGAAAATGCAGGTCCTGCAGAGATGTACCATCAATGTTATCTGTCCTTCTGCACCTTTCTCTGAACTCACTGCTCTCTGCTAAGGTTTTTCGTACCAAATCTTCCCTAATGGACACAGATTAGAGAGAACAGGCTTGTGCAGTAAAACTGACAGATGGTGTGTTTCGGTGCCTCTTACATCACTTGTTTATTAGCTTAGTTGAAAGGATTTGAGGATAATTGATTAACATGCAGAAATGAGCTAGCTTAGCTGAAGCTTTTAAAATAAGCCTTTTCTCAAACAGACCATGGCGCTGTCATATGGTTTAGTCATTAGGTTTTCTCTGCTTATTTTGCCCTGAAATAATGACATTTATTTGCAGTTTGCCTTGTAAGTAGTGAGGATGCTCTTTTGAATGGTACAAGTGGAACATCTTGTTATGCTCACGAAATGGACTTAGTTTGGATTTTATATTTGATATCTCAGATTTCCAGAGGATGCTGAGTTTTACAAGTATATTTTTAGCCCTTCAGTTGTGCAAGTGCAGCAGTCTCTTCAGCTGCTTCAGAAACCAGCCCCAGCTATTTACCTGGCCTAAATAACCACTTTTTTTTTTTTCTTTTACTTTTTTTTTTTTTTTTTTAATGTGGTGGAGTGTGAAGTGAGGTGGAAGCATGGGCTTAAGGTGTTTGTAAGTGATCTGGGAAACTTTGGGGAGAAATTTCTTCAATGGGCTTTATTGTGTAGCCTTGCAAACAGCAGCACGTGGAGCTGCTGAGGGGACAGCACGCTGGGTGAATCAGCTCTGTCAGGGAAATTAATACTTATGTCTGCTGAAAATCTTAAACCATGGCCAACAACGTAGGTCCTCGCTTGACTGAGAGGGATCCTGATGGTTGAAATGTGGAAGTAGCATTTAGAGCTCTGCATCAAACTTATTTGCCTTGATGGGAACATCTATGGGAGCTTCCTGTTCAGGTGAGCAGTTTGTCACACTTTCTTAGTGTCACTCAATTTTTCCTCCCACAATAAGCCATTGACCCCAGGAATGGCACAAACTGGTGGCTTTCTGCTGCTTCCCAGCAGATGGTGCTGCCTTATGCTGCATCCTGGGGAGATGGGTTGCAAAATGCCTGGAAAATCATGTAAAGCCAGGCTTGTGAGGAGATTTTTATTAGATCAGCTAACATTAGTCAGAGACAAACTTTCAGGAACACAACATGGCTTTTCTGTTCCTCTTCCCCAGTGAATATTAGGTGGTCTAGTAGAAGTTATTACCTCATAAGCCTTGCTCTGTTTACATGCTAGACCAACCCAACTACAGCAACATTATTTCTTAGAGGTGACTGCAGCCAGCCCTTCTTCAGCTTGGTGAGCAGCGTGGTTATGGTCGGGCTCTATCAGAGGGTGATTTTTGACAACCCAAGCCTCTTTATATTTTTCCTGTGGTTTCAAAGTTTATCAGAGACTCTGGGAGGTGAATCTGAGATGAATACTCACAGGCTTCAAATATGTAGCAGAGCTGATTGAAGTTCCTGTATTTGCCTTCATCAAGGAAAAAGACTGGGTGAGCTTCAGAGATGGACTCACCAACTGATAAACTCACTGAGGGTCCAGCAGAAACCACAGATTCATTTGATGCTGTTTGAAGCTCTGGTCGGACAGGTGGGTTGTGAGTCTTTGGACAAACATGGTTTTGAAAGGAGATATTGTAGGCAACGCATGGTCTTCTAAGATCATTAAGTTTTATCTTTCCTTTTGAAAAGCCTGGCTTTGTGGGCTATCCAGGCAGAGTGGAAGCAGTAGCAGTGTGTTTTTATGGTTTTACTGCAAAATGATGCACCAAACACTGCAAGGCTCTGTGAGCCAGCAGGCTCAATGCTCCAGCTTGTTTTTCAGGTGAACCGAATTGTTTGTTGATCAGCAGATGGTGTTTTTCTACAAGACACGTGAAATTTAAGAAATACCAAATTGAGGCAAGATTTGAAAATCACAGTCAGCGTGCCTGTTGCCACTTGGGTCCTCAGTGCATGGAGGAAAGTGCTGGACCTGAGGAAGAGAGGCCCATGTCAGGGCCAGGATGCAGGTATGTTTCTGGAGCTGGTTGGTCTGGGTGTGCTTGTGGATGGTTTTAACAGAGCACATCTCATCACTGCTGAGGTGCTTCTGTTCTAGGGTGCTGAGCTATGCTCTCTGAGCTGAAATGCTTTGCTTTAAGACCATCTGAGCTGAAGGCTGGTGGAAGACTTGCCCTTGGCAAGACTTGAACCTAGCAGTTTCCCAGCTGTTTCACTGAAGGGAGATGCTTCCTGTTTTTGCTTTCCTTGTAGAAGTGGAAGTCCTTCCTCCCATATGTGAAGTCCTAACCTCACAAGTTAAAGGTAATTTTGAGCTTGAAACCTCCACAGCCAAGTGGGCAGAAGGCTGGATGCACCTTCCTCCCCTCTGGCCCTGCTGTGAGATGGCTGTGTGTGAGGGACTCTGTGTTTCCTGAGCTAGAGCTTTCTGGTTATGGCAGTTAGGGGAGGAGTGGGGTGGACTCAGATGATTTACTGTTTCATGAGAATAGCCTGTGCTGAAGAGCTCCATTTTGCTGTTACCTGCAAAATAACTGAGTCCCATCATTTGGCCTTTATAATGCTTCCTGATCATGGTGATTCATCAATAAATTTTGCTGTGCCCCTGGCTAGTGGCTTTTAAACACCAGGGAAGTGGGTCTAGTGGGGCTTACATGGGCTCAGCCAGCCAAAACGGAGCTGGAAGTAGCACCAGGAGTTCTGCTCACTTTTGCTTTGATTACAGCTTTAACCATTTTTCAGGCTGGTTTAGCAAGGTGGGACAATGTGGGTTGCTCTTTTCTGAACCAGTTACTCCCAGCTTACCTGATGCACCAGCCAGCTGCTTGGGATCTCGGGCCGCCCTCTGCCATGCAGCACGATGTCCCTCATGGTGTCCACACAGGGCTGCTCCTGGACTTTTGACCCAAAAGGCAGCTCGTAGTTCTTTACCTCTGCAAGGGGCGCAACAGCAGCATTACAGGATGTTTTTCATGCATTCACTTCTTTGCTTTGGTGTGGTCCACCAGATGACAATAAATTTGGTTTTATCAGTTAACAAAAAGAAACAAATCTGGAAACAATTTAGAATTTGAACATAGAAACATAGTGCTGGGTTTTCATGTAGGGATTGTGTTCAGACACGGGACTGAGGAAGCATCTGACCATATTCCTGAACCCAAGAGATGCACTACAAAGGACTTGGTCTGTCTTTAGGTGAGACATATTTTGAGCAGGTAAAATGTGTTGTGCTGGTGAAAGATGGGAGAGGCGACTACGGTACCAGCACCCAGATT